CCTGCTCCCGGCGGTCTGCCACTGGTGGATCCATGCTGTCGATGGATCCAGACAGAGCTGTGAGGAGGGTGGAGCTTGTTTCGTTCAGTGACACGTGTAGACGCCGCATTGGCTGTTGCTGTTCATTGTATGTGATGCATTAGGCGTCAACACAGCTGACATTCTCCCCCACGCCTCCTCCTGCACTGCAGCAAGGTCTGAGCCACAGTGTTGTTTCAAGTGCCAAACATTTATTTCTCATACAAGATACTTGGCTGAATGAAAACTGGGGTTGTCATATAACAAACTACTTTATGTAGATAATATTTCTATAAGGTAAAGTCACACAGTCACTTTTTGGTAGATTACCAGGAAAAGCATCTGAAAATCACTTCATGTGTTACTTTTAGAACCTGTTGTGGATTGTGGATTTTGTTCTATGAAGACATTTTGTTGCAAAGTAAAATACTGAAGAAACATTTAATTTTCAAACACACCAAGAACCCCTTCCTTACTCTGATGTGATGTTCATGTTAAATGGGACAAACCAGGTTTTAAATATCAGCCAATCACTATATATAATAACACTTTTTATAAACAATTGTTTGCTAGCAATTAAACAGTGAGAAATCAAACTTGTTGTAAAAGATTTTTTTCATAAACAAATGAATTACTTTCTATTCATCATGCCAGGTTAAAATGAGCTCACCTGGCAGAGCTTTATACACTGTTGCCCATATGTGGCCTGGTCAAGAATGATGAGACCGTACACAAATAAAATTATTTTTGTGGGTTCTTTTATTCCCCGACTGAGCTTAATAAAGAACAGCATTAATATTGTATCTTGAGGATTTAGGACAGATATAACAAAACGGAATGATAACTTTTCCCTATTCCTTGTCTGGCAACAATCATCTGCTTTAACAGTTCTCCTTAGCAGTTGATGAACAATGGTGTATGTAGACTACCCCCAGCTACAGCTACCAGGCTCAAACTCATACAGCTTCATTTACTTCATTAAACTGAACTTCAGACATTAGCTAACTCTAGACAACAGTAGTGGCACCTCTCTAAATAAAGAAAATAAAACATTTGTTAAGTACATTTGTTACGCCACGTAACTCATAGTCACTTCAACATAAAATACTTCAATTCCATGAGAAATATAAAAATACATTCAATACAAAATATTCTCTTCATTTATACATTCTTACAATTCAGAAACAATTTAGTAGTATAATTAACTCCTTTTCACTCCAGTGTGCAGCCTGTGTTCCAAGACACACACCTGGAATTCAACACGCATATATCTCCCCTCTAAATTAGGCAGAAAACATACAAATGGACATAGCTTATTGAATCAGTCAGCATACATTGAAATGAGATAATTCTGTTTATACATGTGCTTTATCATTACTCATGCTAACCCCGCTGTTCAGTGTTGCCCTCAGCGTGGCGGAGATACGCACACAAACTCATTTACAGATCACGGCAGTCAGTCACCTCCTGGTACTGCCACTTCCTTGTTTCTGGTGTCTCGGCAAAACTATGCTCTCACACGCGATTTCCCTTTTCCGCTGCCCATAGCATAACAATGCCCCCTTGAGGGAAAAACAACGCTACTGCAGTACTAATCCCACAAGCAAACTGCAAAGCACTTGTTAAGGAGAAAACCCCTGTGTAACCCATGTTCACCTGGCTACACATAAAATTGGAATAATTTACTTTTCAGACACATTCCTCTTTTTATTACTATTTATATACATCAATAATCCCCTTTGACCAGGTGCAGTGATTCCATACTGGGTCCCAGTTACCCAGGTGAAACAAATTCAATTTAAACGATCGTTTGGCACTATAAAAGGCAAGACATTCGCTGTGTTGTCCTTTTCCTGCTTAAAGCTTGTATGCAGTAAGTCTACGTTTTCAGAATTGGCTGTATAATTTTTAACCAAATTTGACATAGAAGTTCCCTAGCTATGCCTCGTCAGATGCAACTGGCAATACACCAAAGAGTGCACTCCGACAGGATGGACACAAACAAGCCAACATTGCTGATTTCCTTGAAATACCAGAGTGTGGTCTGTAAAATCCTCAAACATCAACGAGAGGAGGGTTATTTGAGGCCACAAAAATCTCCAGGACAACCACGACTAACTACCAGACGAGATGATCGGCAACTTCTTAATCTGTGCCATAGAAATCTGAAAATGTCAGTAAGCCACCTTCGTCATTTGGGGAGAAGACACAATGGAATCAAAATTTCCCGCCAAACTGTAAATCGAAGATTGCTTCAGTATGGTTACGGAGCGAGACGAATGACGATGTGTCCACGCCTAACTGTTCAACACAGAGTTGCTCGACTTCTCTGGGATAGGGAGCACAGAAGATTACAGCTTGGCCACTGACGACATGTTGTCTTCATGGTTGAGAGCAGCTATATCCTTCACCGTATAGATGGAAGACAAAGGGTGCAGCAATTACGTCAGCCATATAGCTATCACAGCATAGCTGTTGTCCCCTTTATAACTGTTACCATAGTTACAGGACCTGAGCTTTGAATCTTTTTGTGTGGAGTTGACGTGTTATCCTTGTGTCTGTGAAGGTTTCCGAGTCCAAATACATGCAGGTTTTTGCATGCAGACCAAAAGGTGTGACTGCGTCTGTCCCTCAGTCTGTGTCCGCCCTCTGGCTGTGATAGTGACCGGTCCAGGTGAACCCCAATGTGAGCTGCTGTTACTGACATTCGAGGTTGGATGTTTTATAGGCCATTAGTTACAGAAAGCCTGTTTCCTGCTAACAGCAGAGAGAAAACCACAGCACTGATACATAAAGAGGAAGGAGGTGGGCTTTACTCAGTGTGACTGCTGAACTCTAATGTGCTGATCTCAGATGGCCAAGATCTAAAATGGAGGAATCATCTTTACAGTGGCTGCTGGGTGAGTAAAAATCTACCTTTTAATGCGTTTACACTGTGTCATTAGTATTTTAGCTACACACATATAGACAGGCAGTAGTGCCACAAAGCACTGCTCCAAGCTGGGGTCCAGTGCCTTGCCCGGGGGCTATTTTGGCACCTCTCCAGCTACCAGTCCACACTCCATAACATGGTCCATGCTGGTCTTCAACAGACTACCCTCTGGTTTATAAAGTGCCCTGACAGACAAAGCAAAAGCAAGATGCTCAGAAGACAGGGAACAGAAAGCCAGGCAGTAACAGACAATATACAGGATACCAGATACAGCAGCAAAGAACACACAATAACACAGACATTACTGCAAGTTATCTTCAGTTGTTAACAATGTGTACTTATTGGGGTGCATGGTAGTTCACCTGGTAGAGTATGTGTCCCATGTAAGCTGAGTCCTTACCACTGTGGCCCCAGTTTGCAACCTACGGTCCTTTGCTGCATGTCCTCCCCCCCCCTTCCCGTCTTTCTTCACCTGTCCTATCAGATGAAGGCTTAAAAAGCCCCAAAAATATATTTTTAAAACAATGTTTACTTATCCGAATTTCCTACAATATTTATAACAATTATTATTATGGCTGATTATACACAAATAAAAACATACCTCTAATATTATATTCAGTTTCTGACCATAGATCGTCCTCAGTTACATAATCGGCTGTTTACATTATTATCTAATATCAATGTGTGGTTGTTTTCTGTTCAGTAGAAACTAAAGTGTTGTTTCTCTTTAGTTCTGACCTCACTGCTGAGCCGCCCAACAAACCAAGGTTAGTGAACTTCTTCTGTGACAGCTGGAAGGTTATTTCTCTAACAGTTAGTGTTTGCAAATGATAATAAATCACTGAATTTCAGATCAATTCAGTTTTATTTGTATAGCGCCAATTCATAACATAAATTATCTCAGGACACTTTTCAAATAGAGCAGGTCTAGACCGAACTCCTTCTAACATTATTTACAGAGACCCAACAGTACCACCATGAGCAAGACCTTGGAGACAAGGGCAAGGGAAACACTGCCTGTTAAAAGGCAGAAACCTAGGACAGATCCTTCTGGTCGCCTCGACCAGTTGGGGGGGGGAATTATATTAGTGTATTAACAACTACACTAATAGTAGTGAGCATGGCAGGAGGCTCCACCAGGATCCATGAGAACCTGCGAGATGAGAAAGCACAAGAACTCCGGGGAAGAAGTGAAGTTAGTAACATGCATTAATGGGACATGAATGAGTGCAGAAAGAGAGAGAAAGAGAGGAGCTCAGTGCACCATGGAAAATCCCCCGATAGTCTAGGCTTATAGCAGCATAACTAAGGGATGGTTCAGGACTCACCTGATCCAGCCCTAACTATAAGCTCTATCAAAGAGGAATGTCTTAAGCCTACTCTTTTTTTTTTAAAGTTATTTATTTGGCCTTTTATTGCCTTTATGTTTGATAGGGATAGTCGAAGACAGACAGGAAAGGGGGTTAGGGGAGAGAGGGGATGACACGCAGCAAAGGGCCGCAGGTCAAATTTGAACCCTGGGCCGCCAGTTCTACCGACTGAACTAACCGGGCGCCCAAGCCTACTCTTAAATGTGGAGAGGGTGTCTGATATGTCATCAGATCATATCTGAGTTTGATTCAAAAATCTTCTCTGAAACTCAGACATCAGTTCAGCAGTGAGAGATTCTCTCTCTCTCTAACTGCATCTCTCTGTCTCTCCCTCCAGCCTCTCTGACTGTGAGTCCCAGCAGCTCTCAGATGTTTGAAGAAGACTCTGTCTCTCTGAGCTGTGAGGAGGACGACAGCTCTGCTGGATGGACACTGAGGAGGAACACAACCAGAGACACCAGGACTCAGTGTGGAGCTGGCTGGGGAGAACCAGCTGGTTCTTCTTGTACCATCAGCTTCACCGCCACATGGGACAGTGGAGTTTACTGGTGTGAGTCCAGAGAGGGAGCGACCAGTAACACCATCAACATCAGTGTCACTGGTAAGATCAGACTGTGGAGTTAGTGTTGATGAAGCTGTGTGTAAATGGATGAAATGCTGTAGTCTGTCTCTGTGTTGAGGTGGACCAGTGATCCTGCAGAGTCCTGTCCTCCCTGTGATGGAGGGAGATGATGTCTCTCTGCACTGTAAAACAAAGACCCCTCCCTCCAACCTCACAGCTGCTTTCTATAAAGATGGCTCCCTCATCAGGACTGAGCCTACAGGTCACATGACCATCCACCATGTTTCCAGGTCTGATGAAGGCCTCTACAAGTGTCACATTGGCAGTCATGGAGAGTCTCCACCCAGCTGGATCACTGTCACAGGTGAGGAGGTTACAGATAACTCTACTGCAGCACTAACAAGGACAGCAGTGATTGTTCACAATGTGACAACCTTTCTAACGTTACAGCCAGCAGAGAAAGTCAGCGTTCAACAGCTACATAACCGTTTGATATGTAATCTACATAAACCAAGCTGGGTCAAATGTTTCAGTAGAAAAAGAGGATCAGAACTAACAGGAGCAACTTCACTTTCTTTATTTAATCTTATTACTTTCTGAACAGTCAAACCACTCAATGTGTTTTACATTTATTTTATTTTCTGTGCTTTAATTATGATTTCCTGTTCATTGTAGGGAAACCCACCACTACATCTCCTCCTACACCCCCCTCTACTTTTGCTACCCCCTCTCTTCCTGCCTCTCTTCCTGCCTCTATTCCTCCCTCTCTTCCTACTCTCTTCCTCCTATTATTCTCTGGTGTGGTTCTACTGGTTGTAGTGGTTCTACTGGTTCTACTGGTGAGACAATGCACCCAGAGGAAACATAAAGGTTAGACTCAGACACAAAAAGACAACCATGTCCTACAGTTCACATTTAAAATGACATTTTACTGTTGGTATTTCAGAACTGAGTCTACAGATAATCAAAGTTAAGACTGTTTCCTTCAGTCAGTCGTCCATTAGGATTCTCATTAATTATATTCCTGTTCTCTCCTCAGTGTAAAAGATAAAAGTTGAGATAAAAATGTTCTTGTTGGTTTGTTTCAGCAGCTGCAGCAGGGGGAGACGATGACATCACAGATGACATCACATACAGTGATGTCAAAATATTGTGTCACCCACAACAGCCAATCAGACGCAGACGAGGTAATGATGTTTTATTGATTTTATTTTTAGGGACATTTTGGAAAATGAAGTGAGGACATTTTTAAACAATGTTGTTAGAAAGCATGTTCATCAACATAAATACAATGTAAAATCAATGCTTTTCTCTTCCTAAACACTGTAGTGAGATATATTGTAGTTCTATTTTAGTTGATGATAGTGTGTGTTGTGCGTGTTGTGTTGTGTGTGTGTGTCTGTCTGTTTGGACCCTGCGGTGAATCTGTTAACAGAAGCTCTGTGGTCGTCCAGTTTCCCATTTCTGATGAAAACAACTCAGCTGAACGTTGCAGGACTGTTAATAACATACATTTAAAATATAAAATATAAATGTTTTTTCCATGTTTTACAAAAATCTTTTGGAATCTGGTTTGAAAGTCTTCAGAGTGCAATGATTTCCAAATCCTTTCCACCCATATTCAATTGAAAGCAGCTCAAAGACTTTTTTAAGATGTTTAATGTACAAACTGATAAACTTAATTATTGTGCCTTGCAAAGCAAGCACAATACTACTCTTCCTCGGGCTTATTATAATAATATTTTATTCTTCCGTACGTTTTTCGGCGCGCTTCTTCTCCCGGAGCTTTTGTCGCACGTACACAAAAAAGGTATCAAAACGTGCGGCTCGGCCGGGAATCGAGTGCTATGACTTTTCTAAGAATTTCGCCAAACGGTTTGCCGATAAATCGCCAAAAACCGGTCCAAAAATGAATGGGTGTGTATTGCGAGAACCTCCAACTGAAAAAAACTGCCAGAGTGCGTGACATCATCGCTAGAGTGTGGGGAGAGAGAAAAATTTGTTGAAAAATAAATTTGTAAACTGCTGTCATGGCCACAAATTTCACTCTACCGAAATAATTTATAGATAGGAACGTAGGTAAATCCGTTGGGGTCGCAGTGATACTACTGCTGAGGCTGTCAGACAAATAGTTTTGGCGGGAAACGCACTGATGCGCCAGCAACGCCCTCTCACGGCCCCATCTACTCCCATGTTAATTTTAGAGGACAAATCTTGAAAGACGCTCGTTGAACCTCTTCTCTCTCAATCTGCCCAGGTCACATTTTTTAACTTTAACCACTGAAACTCGGCAGTGCTATAGTCAACAAGATGATGACGCTCACGGTCTTTTCGGTTTTCATTTCGGTCGTTCCTGGCCATGGGTTCGAGGGGATTCATTTTAAATGTTTCTGTCTCTCTGAGGAGTTAGAGACAGAGAGAGAGCGTGCGCAGCTGCTGTGGGCTCCCCTGATTGCCATGACAACCAAAGCCTGCTCACACACACACACACACACACACACACACACACACACACACAGCTAGCTACAGAGAATGACAAGACATTAATAAGCTAGCGCTAGCTGGCTAGCTAAAGATAATTAGCAGGTGGCTAACAAACAAACAATTTAAAGCTGAATGATTTTAATATTAACACAAAATAAGTTCAATACACCTTAAATATTTTACCCTACTATGAGCTGTTCTTTAATTTACATTAGCACTCCTTCAGGAGCATAATACAATTAAACACATTAACCAAAGCTAGCACTTAGCTAGCGATTAGCGCTTTGCTAGCGATTAGCACGCAGCTAGCGCTAGCTTTGGTTAATGTGTTTATGTGTGCTAGCTCTAGCTCTAGCTAGCTAAAGAGAATTAGAAGGTAGAAGAAGGTATTAGAAGGCTAGCTAATTAATTAATATGCTTTGCTTGCTAGAGAGGATAAGCTACTAATGTTCTAGGCCAGCTAGCGAGACAGAACAAGGTATGAATGTTTTAGCACTCCCTAGCTAGAGAGGAAAAAGGATTACTGTGCTAATTAAACGTCACAAAAGACACTGAAATTCTTAATTAGCCATCTATTTCAACTTGTTACACATGACACAAGTAATACAGATTTAGTAATGTGATAAAACATCAAGTTAGATTCATTTTGTGAGGAAGAACTCAGACTGTTGTGACTGCCTATGACTGCACATTAAGAATAGTTTTCTTTCTTAATTATGTATTATTTATTAATATAAATATTGTTATTCATATTATTGATAGCATTACTTATTATTGTTGTTATTATTATTATTATTATTATCATAATTATTATTATTATAACTACATACTTAGTAGTCCCATCATTGTGGTTATTACTTATTTAGTTACTTTAGCCATTTTAATTAAACCATGACGCTTCCTGCATTATCCCAGGACAATATTATGCCAAACTCCATTTAAGAAATACCATACATTAACAATTATTTGCGCTTACATAAAAGCACATAACTGTAGAAACACAAGAAAAAACTCATCATATGTCAACAGTCTTCTTGTTAATTCGGCAACAATATAATACATAAATGCTAACTTTTTGGCCGACTTTGTCGCATCAACTCGTTACCAGCCTCACTATTTCAGTGGGAGAAGACCGTGGCAATAGATGGAAAAAACAAGATTTGTCATTAAAATATGTGGTTGTTAGTGGATCACGTACGCCGAATTAAACACAGGTGTCTCCCCTCATTGTACTGTAAACTACTCGGCAGTGTCAGTAATGTATGGGCCAGTGTCACGGGCCAGAGCAAGGCACAATCAAAATTGCTTTAGGAATTTTCTAGTTTTTCATACTATACTGAATTTGATGCCTGCAACACGTTCCAAGAAGGAGTGGGAAAGTTGTTTAATGTTCAAAAGACACCTGTTTAGAACTTTTTACAGGTAAACAGGTTATTGGTACAGGTGAGGATCGGTTATAAAAGAGGCATCTTTGAAAGGTTTAGTCATTCAAAGCAAAGATGGGTGACCGGTGACCTTCAACCCCTCTGGCAACACTGCAATAAATCAGATGATTGTATAAAGGATTTTACTGTGTGGGAACGCTGTGTCCCTGTTTCTTCTTTCTGCTTTATTTTACTGTTTCATGTTTGCTTTCAGCTGTATATGAGTCAAGTTAAGTCACTGCGGAAGAAAATCCAACGCTTCCTGATTTTGCTGCTTCACTATAAAAGTGTTTAAATAACAAAATAAGACATTTATAGGAAGTTCAATGTGTTTGTAAAGAGTCAAACTGAGTTGAGCCAAACCAGCAGGTGTATGGAAATAGGCTGAGAGCTGAGACATGTTTGTAAAGTTAGGACACTATCAGAATGTGAGGACATGTTTTAATGCAGAGGACTGTGGACATAAAGACATTTGTTTGAGGGATATTTTTAGAAACTGCTGACATTGTGGACTATGAGGACACTCTGAATTAAGAGGACACTTTTGTAAAGTGCTGACAAATTGTCTGGTTGTCACACACAGGTTAGAATGAGTTTTAGGTCTGAGAGGACGGCTTTAGAAAGAGAGGACATTATGAATTAAGAGGACATTGTGGTTTACGAGGACCTTACACAATGTTAGGGACTATGTCAGCGAGGATCAGATGTATAAAACAATGTGGGCTGTTGAACAGCAAAGAGGGCATTTTATTAATTTGATGTATTGATGTATTTCAGATTTATTTTATGTTTAGAATTTACATTTTTATATATTATGATATATTTTTAACAACAGTAACTTAATAAAATCAAATCATCTTTGGTCTATGAAGTTTCAGACTGTAGTGAGATATATTGTAGTTCTATTTTAGTTGATGATAGTGTGTGTTGTGTGTGTTGTGTTGTGTGTGTGACTCTGTCTGTTTGGACCCTGCGGTGAATCTGTTAACAGAAGCTCTGTGGTCGTCCAGTTTCCTGTTTCTGATGAAAACAACTCAGCTGAACGTTGATCTGCTCATGTTTCACTGCAGGACTGTTCATTTAAATAAAGACATCATGTCAATACATAACTGCAGATTGACACTGTCTGTACATTCTGCTCACATTAACTGTTAATGTGTTTGACTCAAACATTATTATTGATCTGTTTATTTAATGGAAACAGTGAAATAATCTTATTCTTTTCCATGTTGTTCACATTTTGTGGAAACATTTTACATTCTCCGTATCTTATTATTTACATCAAAATGTTGACCCACGTTTGGATTTAACTTTTAAATACATTTATGATTTTATAGTTTGTGACATTCTGACAAACTAACATGTTAACAGCTCTCCTCAAATTTCACAGTATGTTTTCGGTTTTTACTCTTCTGTCTTCAGCTGAATCCTGATATTTGCTGCAATAACTAATTGATATTTAATTATGTCCTCCTATAATAGTAAACAAAGTATCACTGTGTTGTACTTTATATAATGACTACTGCAGTAGTAGCAGTAACTATACTATCAGTACAGTATCAGCTGTACTACCTGCAGTAATATAATGTGTATGTTGTTTTGCAGAGAGTGATCCAGCTGCAGTTTACTCCGCAGTGAGAGGAGCAGAAGACGTCAGTTATGGACAAATAGTCATCAAAGACATCAAATCAAACCGGATGAGAGGTACAGCTGCTCTTCTTCTTTGTCTCTATCATAAAACAACACTAGAAATATGTCAAGATGTCGAGATGAAAAGAGAACCATCAGAGTTATTTTGTGCTTGTCAATGGTGAGAATGTGTAACATCTTTCTAAAGATGTACTCTACTGTGTATGTGGTACCTACTGTTTGATTCTCTGTAGTGATCATGAACGCAACTTCAGGTGTGAAAATGGAGTTGAGCAACATTACAGCTATAAACAGATATCTGCTTCTGAATGTAGATAAATTAAACAGAAACCAGAAACACTTCTGATTCCAAGATCTTGTCCCTTTCCTGCAGATTCTGCATTTCTATTTCTAGTCTTTGTTTATAGAGATTAGAAAGGACAGCTACTGGAGTCCAACATCATATTTCAGTGGTTTTATAATTGTAAATATCTAAAACAGCTGCACACTGTAGTTTTTATCAAACAAACCAGAGGAAAGAGTGCATTTGTTTGGGACTATTTCCAGCGGTGGATGAATCCACATTTGGTGCTGTAGTGAGTATTTGTGGCAGTAGGATGGTGTATAAATGAACTACAGTGTGTTCAAGGTAATGAAGGAACAGTGAAGAGTTTTTAAGAGTTTTTGGAACAATGGAGCTCTATGGCGCAGAGGAAGAAGATATATCAGACTGTGATACACACACAGTACTTGTTAGTGGATAACCAGTGTTGGTTTGAGAGTTAGACTTTAAGAAGACATAAAGGTTTAAGAAGAGGTTCTTCATCAAAGTAAGATTTAAGGCAGCGTATATAAGAGGAGACAGACACTTTACTTCACTCTGAATATCAAACAGCAGCAGCTTCCTGTTGTTGTTTCCATTGGACTGAACTTTGACTCTGGTGAGGTTTCTCACTATATTCTGGTCAAACCTTCTGCCCTTTATAGTCTATGATTTAAGTATTAAGTCGATAATAGATTTTAATAACAGCGGTAGTATTAATATCCTTCTTCATATTACATGTGTTGCTGTACTAGTGGCACCACTGTGTTAGTGCAATCAGTTAAAATACCAAATGATCAAAATGAATCATGATCAAAGATAATAAATAATAACTTTAATCAATATTAAAATCCTTCTGGGCACAACCCTTAAAGAAAGGAAACAACAGCCAAACTATTCATTTGTGTGGGTTATGTGAAAATGGAGTTGAGCAACATTACAGCTATAAACAGATATCTGCTTCTGAATGTAGATAAATTAAACAGAAATTAGAAACACTTCTGATTCCAAGATCTTGTCCCTTTCCTGCAGATTCTGCATTTCTGTTTCTATTCTTTGTTTATAGAGATTAGACAGACAGCTACTGGAGTCCATCATCATATTTCAGTGGTTGTATAAGGGAACTTTACCCCTGTGACAAGTCTGTATTTATCCATTTGGTATTTAAAGCCCAAATATACAGATTTAAATAAATGCTGTCAAATCTATTTGGTTAGAAATTAGAAGTCTGGTGTAATTTAATATTTGTCTTATTGACAGCTGCCCCATGTTCAGACTCAAACCAACAACATGTTAGTCCATCTAAAAAAGAAGTAATTATCTAAAACAGCTGCACACTGTAGTTTTTATCAAACCAGAGGAAAGAGTGCATTTGTTTGGGACTATTTCCAGCGGTGGATGAATCCACATTTGGTGCTGTAGTGAGTATTTGTGGCAGTAGGATGGTGTATAAATGAACTACAGTGTGTTCAAGGTAATGAAGGAACATTGAAGAGTTTTTAAGAGTTTTTGGAACAATGGAGCTCTATGGCACAGAGGAAGAAGATATATCAGACTGTGATACACACACAGTACTTGTTAGTGGATAACCAGTGTTGGTTTGAGAATTATACTTTAAGAAGACATAAAGGTTTAAGAAGAGGTTCTTCATCAAAGTAAGATTTAAAGCAGTGTGTACAAGAGGAGACAGACACTTTACTTCAAACTGAGCTTTAATATAATTAATAGTTGAGTTGTTTTTCACTCTGAATATCAAACAGCAGCAGCTTCCTGTTTCCATTGGACTGAACTCTGACTCTGGTGAGGTTTCTCACTATATTCTGGTCTGCTGTATCTGATGGTGATGTGTTTGTCTGTTTGTGCCTTGTGGTCAATGTGGTAACTACCTTTAATAGAAGAGAGCAGCGCTGTGGTCGTCCAGTTTCCATTTAAATGTGTTCTTTCATTTTTCACAGGAGTGGTGTTTAGAAGAAAACAGCCTGTAAAAACCTGCTGCCCTTTATAGTCTATGATTAAGTATTAAGTCGATAATAGATTTTAATAACAGCGGTAGTATTAATATCCTTCTTCATATTACATGTGTTGCTGTACTAGTGGCACCACTGTGTTAGTGCAATCAGTTAAAATAAAATGATCAAAATGAATCATGATCAAAGATAATTAATAATAACTTTAATCAATATTAAAATCCTTCTTGGCACAACCCTTAAAGAAAGGAAACAACAGCCAATAACTGATTGATTCAGTCTCATAAAAATACACTCAACTATTAATTTGTGTGTGTTATGTGTTAATAATTAAAGTAATAATTAACCTAAAATCACCATATCAATAGCTAAAGTGAAAGGATTTAGTTGTTCATAGAAGAGGCTGATATCACCCTCTGTTAAATGAAATAGGTCAGCATGTATAAACACAATCAGTTATTAAAACGGTTCCAAGTTAAGAGGGAGTTAGTTAGTAACAACAAGTTAGCAGTTAGCAGCTTGGTGCTAATATTCTGTGTTGTTCCTGTAAAGTCAGCTGACAGTTTCTAACCAGGAAAACAAACGCTCTGGTGCCACGCTGTAATCCTTTCTCATGTCTGTGGGCCTGTCCTCACTGAGGGCCGAGAGTTTCTCACCCGGGGTGGGAGAGCGAGGTGAAGAGCAAGAGAGAGGAGAAAAGAGAGACCAAGACTTTTGTTACCATGCATCATCAGAGTGTCTCAGATTATTACGTTCACTGGAAGACACAACCGTACACTAACAGTATCAGCTGTACTACCTGCAGTAATATCATGTGTATGTTGTGTTGCAGAGACTGATCCAGCTGCAGTTTACTCCGCAGTGAGAGGAGCAGAAGACGTCAGTTATGGACAAATAGTCGTTAAAGACAAGAGACCAAACAGGACGAGAGGTACAGCTGCTCTTTATTCATGAACTTTGGACAGAGCTAGGCTAGCAGTTCCCCCTGCTGCCAGTCTTTATGCTAAGCTAACAACATCCTGAGTTATTGTGTGTCAAACTGTGTTTGTCTCCAGCAGTTTCTCATTGAGTTTAAACTGTTTCCAGCAGAGCCAGAGGTCGTCTACTCTTCACTGAGGTCCAACCACTGATGTCCAGCTGTCCTCTAACTGGTCCCCAGAGACCCTCAGTACTTACATTAGTTTTATTTATTTAATATGTTAAAGCTAAATGAACTATATGCGTCTACAAAGAGACAAATAAATCACATTTAGAGCATATTGTTGGAAATCTGTTGTGCAAAGTGAGTAAAATTACAAAACTAAAATAAAGATTAGTCATTTCTTTGTAGTTTTTCCCTCTTAAATACTTCCAGTAGGATGCACAAGAACAAGATATTACTCATTATGTTAAACTGTCATTCTTCTATTTCTGAACAGAATCTAATAATAACTATCAGCTGTTTTATATTTAATGTAAGCATATTGCTGTTGTTAATATTTCTGTTTTTGGATCAATAAACTTTATTCTTGTTGTTCTGCTGTGGTTCTGTAGGTTTCACAAAGCTGTCTGATGGAAACTTTGACTTGTTCTGGTTGGTTGTGGCTAACCGATACAAACCTCTCTTCAGTGCTGATAAAGAACAAACAAAGTAAACCTCAACCGCAGACTATAAACAGCATGAACATCATTCAGCTTCAGTACAGACTGTCTGTTTGAAGAGTTTGGATTCTTTAGTCAGTGAACGGCTGAGAAGATTCACTCTGTAAAGTTTCTTCTCTCTCAGTTTAGACTTGTGTTGATCATCATGAGTAACTGGAGCTGCTTCCACCTGACAGAAATATTATATATCAGTTCCTGCAGAGCATCATGAAGTATTTATGAGTTTGTTTAAACACAGAATCAACTCAGTAGAGTAGTAACTTTCCTGCAGAGCTTTTCTCCTTCTAATGAGCTCCCTCTCAGCTCCACCTCTCTTCCTCCTTTACTGTGCTCTTCCTCTCCACACTGCTCAGCCCCGTCCACTCAGACAGCCTCGCCTCCTCCATCCCCCCCACTCTCTTCCCCTGCAGCCCTGCCTCCTACCTCCACCTCCTCCAGCTTGTGTTCATACTGCTCTGCCACCTAGTGGTGTTCTGTCTGTACTGCATCTCCACTGTCCTCATGGTGTCTTTATATTAACACATCATAATCATAATCAGGTTCATTGATTTCACATACGAGGAATAAGAAAATAAAAACAGTAAAAAGGAGCCTCTATACACAAATATAAAGAGAGAGAGAATATGTACAAGAGGGCGGATACCTAAATAAACAAATATTTATTCGTAATACATTAATATAAACATTAATACATACAATGCAAATATCCAGGGTTGGTTTAAGAGTCAGTGTCATTGGGGGTCCCGGCCTTGTTCATGAGACCAGCTGCAGAGGGGAAGAAACTGTTCTTGTGGAGGATGAAGTTCATCCTCTGTTGTGCTCTCTTGCTGAGGTCCTGGGTTATGATGGTACAGACCATCTCCACTGTCTTTCTGACTGCACCAGGTGATCAGATGGTCAATCTCCCACCTGTAGGTGGACTCATCTCCACCATAGATGGTGAGGGTGGTATCATCTGCAAACTGATGGACTGATGACTGGAGGCCACGCCCCTTAAAATTACATTTTCAATTATGTCAGAGCAACTTTCCACTTTCAGCTGATGGATATGAAAACAAACTCTGCACAGACATTGTTCAAACATCAGGCTGTAAGAACAAGAACAAAAAAATCCAATTTTCTCCAAATATTGATGACACAATTTATGATACATGAAGATTATAAAATAGTAGTAAAATAGGAGTTTCTGCTTGTATAATGACCTGAAGAGAAAGTCCTCAGGAAAAAATACCTCAGAAAACACAACTCAGCTTTTCTAAGCGCTGACACAAAGCTCTTTATTACAGAGTCACGCTGTCTGAGGAGGGAGGGAGGGAGGGAAATATGCTTCAAATCAGTCACTAACCCACACAAAGCTCCCTGATCACTCCCTGTTCATTGTGTTTCTACATCAGCAACAGCTCACAGTAAACAGATTCATATTTACTTCTCCTGTATTACCATAGCATGACAACCCTTTTCTCTTCTCATGAAATGGAAGTGAAATACAAAAACTCATGTGATCCAACTCAAACAGAAAGAACCAGTTCTGTCTCCTCCATATTGCTTTCACAAAGAATCCTCGAGCACATCCTGCTCTGGGTCTTGTTGACTGTCACACAGTATTCATGCGCCGTGCTCGTGGCCGCTGAGGCAGCTGAAATTATTCTCATGTGATCCACAAAATCCACAAACAAGCAAGTGTTCACTCAGAAGACGTTTTTATTTTGAAGGTATTATCTCACTGAGTTCTGAGACGCAGAACAAGTTTTAAACTTAATTTGATCAAGAATAAACATTATTTCAAAAAACTTTTAATGAAAACACTTCATAAGAAACAGTAAAAATTACAATTTCAGTAAGAGAACCAAACACACATACAAGGAAAGATGTATTAAAATATATTTAGCAAATGTAAATCGCTGTAAGACAGAAACAGAATCCCAAAATACTGTATTATATACAAATGATTGATTTAAAATCACTTTTGTTTAGTAAAGCTAGACCCTAACCTACTGAAACACTGTAGCACGCATTAGCAGTCTATTCTAATATTACACATTAGCAGAAATATGTGAAATATGTTTTCACACAGAATTTTCAGTAACTACAAAACCAAAAACATGGTCAGTGTTTTTACTTTGGAGTGATGTTTTAGTTTTTAGTTTTTAGGTTGTAATCTTTGGTTTTTACATTATTTGTCTCCCTGGTGTTTATTTTCACATCAAATGTATTCTTATTTTGTTGACCTCTGAAGAACCAGACAGCTATGACTTATGTTTGTTAGCACTTTTAAATTTAAGCAACAGTACGATCTAAAGACTACACAGGGAAGGAGAGCAAACAGCACCCGAAGTGCACAGAAAGGGAAGAAATCATTATTATGCATGCTTACTTTACTTTAGCCGAGCCACACTTCAGTTAATAATAGCATTAATGCCATAACACAAACCTGTGGGTACCCTGGACTACAGTCTTTACTGGAACCCTTTCTACTTGCACTGATGGGTAGCAGGTATGCTAGACAATGTTTTATTCCAAGAAAAATATGGAGGACCAATCAATATTCAGAAAACTCATTGAAATAATGTGAACTTGCATGCCTTTTGGGCCTTTCAACATCAGACATCATCAGCCAGGTTGATCAGGCCAAAGCTTGTGTCCTAGCGCCATCTTGATGCCTTTCATGTTTGTCAGTAATGTCTCTGATGGCTCTTTGTCCTGTGATGCCTTGCAACCAACCTCCCCTGTTGTTTATCCAGATCAGTACTGTCTTTTGTCAGGTGTCTCACCTGAGACCAGTCCAGCTTGGCTGGACCTGGTGGGAGCTCAAACCTCAACCAGCTTAGCTCTCAAGTTTCCGAGACACACAAGCCTCTCTACCACGACAAGGTAACAGTACAAAGAGAGGAACTATAAAAGAAATAATAGCGGAAGAAGCCACAGCTCCCAGTCATATCACAGCAGTAAAAAAGTCATTTCTGAATATTCCTGAACAATAAGCCAAGAAATATATGTATTAAAATAATTGTGATGTAAGAGGGTTGGGTGGTTTCTGGTCCAGTCCAGTGTATGATCTTGAACTGGGTAGTTTTTATATAAACTGACTGAACTGTCATTCATAATTATGTAAGGGTCAAGAACTCAAAGCCAGAATATCTGCATTTTGGAACATAAAACAACACATTTGAACTACTCAGTCCAGCACTAGGCATGATGGGAAATGTGGGTGGTTGCTACAATACTCTCAGATCTGTCTGCAGAATATGTAACAGAACACATTACAGCAGAGCAGACAGCGGTGGCGTCTTCACGTTGTTAACTAGTTACTGGAAAGTTAATTAACAATGACTCCCTCATTTCCCTAACTAATATAACCCTGTCCCTGTCAACACTCATGCTTATCACATCTATCTGCTATGTTAGCGAGTAGCTAGCCAGCTAGTACAGTCAGTAATGTAGGGTTTAGTTTCTAGCAGTTAAGTTAGGATTGCCAACATTTGAATACTAAGTGTGTAGGAGAAAAAATTGGCTTTTAGCTTTATCTGGTACAAGTACCATGCATTGTCCCTAAATAAAATTAATAATCATTAAAGTATGGTGGCTGCAAAACACCCCTTATATTCTGGTGGTTATCTACTAATGAAAACATACCTATGAATATTATATTCCATGTCTAACAATAGATCGTCCTCCTGTAACACAAACTCAAAGCTTGCTTACGGAAACGTCACTTGCTCCGCTCTCATGGGCTCTAATTATTTTCCACTCAAAAGTAGCAGAGTCAGCTAATGGTAAAATTCTGATTACCAGAAAAATTACCAGTCTGGTATTTGGCTTAATTGCAACAGGTTTGACAATGTTTATATGTCCCCGACCCCTTTACATAACGTATATTAGATAGTATTAGATAATCCTGCCATCTGTTATTGAAATGTAAGTCCACATTACATTATGTTTAATGTGTTGTCGACATATATATAAAGTAACCTCTGAAAATGAGAGCTGTGAATAAATGTTTTACATTTTTATTCAGTTAATAATGAACTAATTACTGTTTTAATGCAAGGTCTTAAAACGTGTTCACCAGCGCCTGAACTGGACCCTAACTGAACACAATCCTAACCCTGTGTTGGCATTTTCAGCGCTGTTTTCTTAGCATTAAGCTTTTTACATGTTTACACAGAGATGTGGTTCTTTAGGAGTACCAGCATTAGTGTGGTCCACAACTAAACTGGATTGGGGTGTTTGGGTCATGCTAACTTAACTGCCTTGTTCATCCAACTCTGGTGTCTAACTAAAATATTCTGGCTCTACACAAGCCAAAGAAAACAGCTCTCCACAACTAAATGCCTGACCCTAACCTAAACCTGATTCTAACTTTGGTCCTCACAAAGATGGACGTACAAGAGCACATGCACACACATACACATGTTAAGTCTCGTCTCTCTTTCCCTCTTGCACTCTTCTTAAAGTTTGGTGGCGTTCCCTCTCTCCGTCCCTGCAGACTTCCCTCACACCTGCAGGTTGCAGCTTCACCTGATGCCATTTCGCAATTCCCTTCGTTGCTCCTCCGACTGTCTGTTGGCTTTTGGACCTTAGGAGACCCCACCAGAAGCTAGTGCTCCAAGCAAAGCAGCTTACAGATTCAAAGAGCATGAGTATTTAACCCTAAAGATATTACTGGGTAATGCTGCACTACAGATGCATGAAATTGGATGCACTGGAACTTCAACAGGTCATCGCTGTCATCTCGAGCTGCGAGGAAAGAGTGAGCACGCCGTAGGCCCTTCTTGCAACGGTTAATTAAAAAATTAACTTAACTGACAGCGCCAAAAACAGCCCGACGTGTCCACCAGGAATTCCTCCAGCCCCGTTTCCAGCTCTCAGACC